GGCCTGCGGCTTAAATAGAGGCTGTGTTTTGTCAACAGCTCGTTCTGCTGGCCGGCAGGTTGGTTGGTTGGTTCAAGGACTGAACAGTGGGTAAATAATATTTATGCCTTTTTTTGTGCTTTTAATTTTTTTTTAAATAAGTAGCGCCTTTCCAAAAAAGGGGAGCTTGGGAGTGGAATCTGGAGCCCCTTCTGCGGTTGGGGAGCATCCAGACATGCTGCGCGCCTCGGTTCTCACTGGCTGTACAGGGACACCGGCGCAGTGGCAGCTTGCTGCGTCTATTTTTGAGTGATTGAATTTCTAATGTATTTAGAGATTGTGTTTAAAAAAGATCTCTTTAAGCCTCTGAAGTAGTTCTGGGAAGAACGTCATTCCCTTGTTAAAATTCAACTTGTGTAAGTAAATTTCAACTGGGCATATTCTGCTGGCATGCTGTGTGTTGCTTTGGTAGGAATTGGTGATATACGTGGTTTGTTTGGTTTTTAATTGTAATCAGTGGTGGATGCCGGGGAACTTTGCTATAAATGGGAGTAAAGCTCTGGGTGGATACTATAATCTTGTAGTGCCAGGGAAACTTAGGCTGTGAGCTGTTGTGTAGGAACTGTCACTTTGATTCTTTTCCACAGACTTTAACACTTAAAATCTCCATTGCAAAAGTAGTCAAATATTCATATTCCACAATCAAGCTGGCCACGTCCTGTCAAATTCCCTTGGGGGAAGCATGGGCATTGAGTTGCTTCTGCTGTATTTGAACCCTAGCTTGTTACCTAAGTAAGGCAATGTGACCTGCCTTTGACATCTCACCTGGAAGTCCGTTCTGCCTTTTTTCCTCGCTGTAAAAGAATTCTTTAAATTCTTCTTAAACCCTTAGTTCAACTCCACAGCATGACTGCAGACTGTTAATCAGACCTAGCAGGTTTAGTAGCTGTGGGGAAGATTAAAGTCCATGTCATGCCATGTTCCCTCTCAAATCAGCATGTGGCAATGTCAGCTGAGACAGTATGTTGTTTAATGGAGCTCCACCAGTGTACGTGTGCTTCATATATAAAGCTTTGTGCATCCTGTAAGGAAGAATGCATGAATGCCTCGATCTGCAAAAAGTCTGTGCTTGTCCCTAACTTCTCAACCATTGTATGCTGTATGGGTTTGGTGAAAAAGATAAGCTTTGATTTTGGTACCTTTTTGGTGATAAAGGTAAGCATGCGCATAGAAGTCTCCTGGATTTGGCTCCAATATGAATCAAGATCAAAACAAGAATTATGTTTGATGAGGGGGAGGATTTGGATGTGGAGGAGACAGAAGCAAATGCAGGGAGTGGATCTACAGAACGAGTAGTGCAGTATCTGCAGGCATGGGTTGCCTGTCATTAGCTGGATAGGGTCTGCAGGTTACTTCTGAGCGGTCTGCTGAGGCTACTAAGACAATCTAGTGTCAGTAGGCTGCAGGGCTATGTATCTAAATTGGAAAATGTTGCAGAAGTCCACAAATGGAGAGCTTAAAAATCACTAACTTGGAGCTGGTTTGGAGTATAGCTTTTAGGCAGTCAGTAGATCACCTGATTTTGTTTGATTTTGCTTTCTGTTTACTTAGTCTTCGCATCCTTTCATCTTATCACTGTTTTACCTATTCAAACTTTTATCAGTGTTATTAAGTGATAACACTTTCCATCGTGCACTCTCCAAACATATCACTTTAGTCACTTAGAGCAACCAGTGGCAAGCACTATCTATGAGTTAGATTGTGCAAAATCCCTTTACAGGTGTGCTGAGGACAGGGAGAGACTTAACCTTTAGGTGAGGGCATTCTTGCAGACTTGCCGAAGGCAAGTCAGGAATACGTGGGAACAGCCATATGGGTGGAGATGATCTCCAAGAAAGAGAGAGAAACTTATTTTGACAGGTGGCAAAGCTGCTGCTGCTACTTTAGCAGGGCTTTAATTTTCAAGTGCTTGATGAGTTATGATCTATGGCTATAAGGTCACATCTGTTTCAACATCATGCAGCTCAGGGCTTTAGTAAACATTCAGAAAAAATCTGAATTTATTAATATCCGTAGGTAATGCTAGAACAGAGTCTGTAAATCTATTAGAAACGGCTCTCTTAGAGCATGAATATTAGATTGTTTAATCCAGTGGGTGACTGACAGCAAGTTTTGTGCCTTAGGAGAAGATGTGTTTAAACTCAGTATGTTGGTAAGAATTCCGCCTGAAAGATGAAATGGTACCTCAAGAAGAAAGTGTCTGGCAGTCTTAAACAATCTAGATGTTTATAAATACTGACTCTATGTTGCAGAGTGCAGTGCATCACAAGGCTGATGCAGATGGATTATATTTTTCTGCAAATGACCCAATAGATGATGTGACCAGGTAAATGAGGTTCTTTTCCACTCACGCTATGTGCTAGTGCTCATAGGAATGCAGAGGATGCTGAATTCAGCAGTTCCTCTTGTGTTGATACATTTGTTGGATGAAAGTAAAAATGATCTGATACAGTTTTAAATGATAGTTTATATTATCTTGCAGTGAGCTTATTTAAGCTGTTGAAAGGCAGCTTTTGGATAATGGAAGGTAAAACAGGAAAAAAGAAATCAGGAAACTTTTTGGACTTAGTTTTGTTCCATTTTCAGTAATACGTATTGATGTAGGACACCGTTATCTTAGATTCAGACTGATGTTGAAATACAGAGATGATTCAAGTGAAGGGATGTTAATTAGCAGTAGAAAAGGTCTGATGAGGGAGGTTTAAAGATACTCGCATAGGTGGAAGGATTGAGAACTCAAATGAGATATTGATGGTTCTTTGAGAGGGGACGCTGTTGCTCTCTGAGTTAGACATTGATTTGCATGCAGGGAGACATGGAGAACAGGTATGAAAGTAAATTTTACTCTTGTTACCATAAGTAGCTAGAATTAGTTGAAATGATTCATGTTTCGATGCATCTTTTCCCGAGATTTAGTTATGACTCCTTTTTGACTGTTAGGCATCAAATTTCTGTCTAAAAATAAGAAAAATAAATTACTTCTAGATAAGGCTTGAAAGGTGATTGTGCTCTATGCCCCAAAGCTGGTTGATGTATTTCATTCCATAAACAGTTTAATGTAAAAGATATAAATAATCCTTGGGAGCAGGACCTGGAGCCCGTGGTCCCTTGCTTCCAGTGAGCGCCCTCTCACAAGGACGCGGAGTCCTGCTCTGAGTCAGTGGTTACTTAAGCTGCAGAGAGAAATGCCATCTACAGAAAGGGTGGAGAAGTCTCCATCCTGACTTGTCCGTTACTTTGAGTGGTCTCTGGGGTGGTCAGAGGTGTTTCCCATACCCCAGTGAGTGCTGCAGTGGCTGGGCTGCCTTAGAAAAGGGAGCACCACTTCTGCTTTCTTTTTCTGACTATGTCTTTAAACAAAAGCAATGGCTTCTGCTTTTTCTGGGGAACCTGGTTCTGTGGTTCTGCGCACATTTTATCAGCAGACACAGGCGGGGAATAATTGCTTTGTGAATCTTGAGTGTCTAAGCATCAGGCAAGTGTTGTGGTCCTGCCAAAGATGATACTGTGCATCTGTGCATGCTGATGCCTGAAAAATTTATCATCACCTCTCTCTTCTTTTTTTTCTTTTTTTTCCTCCCACTAATATTTAGCTGCAGATAAATGGGATTTTGGAACATGTTTCTTTTAGGTTTAAGCATCAAAAGTTCAGTTTTTATAGGTGCTTAAATGTCTCCAGGGATCATGTTCCAGAATCTTATGGATCTCTTCCAGAGTCATTAGCATGGCAATGATTGGGGCCATATAAATTCCTAGATGGCCAGAGCTGTTTTCTTCCCTGCCTTTGGGGGGTGGGGACGCCAAGGCAGACCCCAGCCCTCTCAAACGCAGAGGTTCCCGTGTTCTTTGCCTGCCTTACTTACTGATTTATAAACTAACAGACGGTAATTAGAATGAACGATACTGGAGGTTCTGATGCGATACTGAGAAGAATATCCAGGGACTTTTTCATATGCACCATCAGTTTTTTGCTGATCATTGCTGTCCTCCCTCCCCTGGAAAATTTGCAGTCCCTAAATTTGCAGACTGGGAGCCCTCCTGCTGTGCGTCTATAAGGTCCTTGCACTTCCTGCAAGCACCAGAAACTCTCAGCAGGGGCTTTTGCCACTTTGCTGCTGTCTGCCTTTCCCTGCTGCCGACTCTTGGAATCATTCCTAGGAGCAGGTTTCACTGCAAGCAGAAAGTGCTTAAACTAAAAATAACTCCTAACCCATCGGTATGAATGTTGGTCAGGGTGTAAGGTTTTGAAGGGCATATGTCTCCCCTCCTTTCCATGCACGGTCTGGAGCTGGCATTGGAGTGAGGTCAAAGACTGTTGCTACAACAGAAGCAGCCTTCCCTTATCCCACAGGCAGAGAACTGCTGAGTTGTCAGCTGTTGAGTCCAAATATGCCTTTTACCTCAGGGAGCACAAGTCGTGAAAGCACGTGTCATGGAAACAAGGACAGCACTGTAGCAATTCCGTGGTCCTTCTGCCTCATTTCCTACCCTGCCAAAAATCAGACCCATAGCACAGCCCACAGCAGAGGATGGGCAGCCTGTGTTGCCAGCTTGGTGTTAGGGGAGCACTTGGGAGCAGGATGGCTTCCCCCTCTCTTGGGCCATGTGTTGTCAGGGAGCAGAGTCTCCTTTCTCACCTGTAAACCCAGCAATTTAGGGGCAGCTTCCTGCAAAACCAAAAAGCACAGCCTTTCAGCCAGCCTTAGCCTCCTGAAATTTCCTGAAGTCTTAAGTGAATAAAGTAGTGCTTTCTTTGGATTGCTTGTATGCTGCAGCATTTTCCTTGTCAGCCAAATAGTTTCACTGATGCAGTAACATTGGTTAGAGAATTACTGTGCGTTTTTGATTTTTTTTTGGGGGGATGCTTCTATATTGATGAGCAACATTATACCGGTGTTCTTTGCCAGTATAGCATGCTGCATTTTGATCATCAGTCAACAGCACTTTCTTTTGGAATATACATATATTCCTAAAATAGACATACATATTTGTCCTTGCTGTGTACCTATAGCTGCACTGGTAATAGCTTTGTAATATTGACTGAACCTTGATAGCTTCGTATCAAGGTAGCCTGGTAGTTTGTAGTGTATAATCATGAAATTTAAATAAAGCAATGTATTTGTGCAATTTCTTTAGGTGATAAACAGTCTGAAAAGTATGCTGGAATGCTTCTTATGCTTGCATAATTTTGTCATTATTGCACAAGTTGCTTAAAGGTATAATAAAAGTACAAGTAATGGGGGTGGTTGGAGGTGGTTTACACTGTCAGTCTGGCTCAGAAATGGTCCATGTTTTACTTCTGGGCCTCAGCCATCCATCTAAACTAGTTTTGCTCACTGAATAAATCAATTACTTCCCTCCAAGAGGAAATGCAGGCTCAGTTGACTAGACAGCATGGTTAAACGTTTATTCTGGATGGTGTGGACATGGCCTATGGCAAGCTTGGCTAGCATGGTGAGCAGAGCTGTATCCCAGCTGGCTTTATGCCCTCAAACGTCCCCCATGTTGTGCCCTTGGGCATGCCACACATTTCAGCCCAAAGCTTTAAAAACTACTTTCTCTTCATTTCAAGTGCTTTGAACGTAGAAGCATGGAAGAAGCTGGTTTGGAGCCAGATGGTGACCTGGGCCATTTGCTGCAAAGTGGTGTAGTCCAGACTTGGACATGTTGGTCCCAAACAGTGCGAAGGCAAGCCCGTCTGCAGCACTTAGGCTGGGGGTGAAGATACCTCCACATTGCAGTCCACCAGGGTGGTTTGAGCATCTCTGATATTCATGCTTTCTGGAACCTTGCAAGCTGCATTTCAGATTACTTGCATGTTTGAGAGTTGCACAGCACATCCCACGTATCTTGGAGAGCCCAGAGGAGAGGGAGATTTGGACAGGTGGGAGATGAGGCATGGCTCTGCTCAGCGTGGGGCTGGCCTGGGCAGGCAGTTGGCTGTCTGGTGGTATCTGCCTTAGCCTGGCAGCCCTTCTCCCTTCCAAACGGGACTTAACGTGGTCACCCGGAAGCTCTTGTACCAAGACAGCAATGCTGCTCATCATGTGGTGTAACCCTGTTTGTATGGCTGACTATGGATTTGCCCTGCTTGAACTGCGTGATCTAATGGCCTCACTTACTTAACTATAAAATCAGTGAGGACAGAGCTTCAAAAATCTTTCTCAAATAATTGGTCTTAATATTACTGCAGGGCAAAAATGCTGCTTAAATCCAGTGAACTTCAGAAGAAAATTATAGTGGTCAGTATTATAGGTGGGGCTTCTGCAGACTCTGAAGCCCAAAGGTGAATGTAAGTTACAAGTATTCCAACTACAACTAATTTTCACAATATTTCATGTTTTGGATCAAGTTCAGCACTTGCGGCAAAAGTGACGTTTAACCTCTGAGGTTTTACAGCTACTCTGGAGCTAAAACCAAGGAGATAAGCTTTTAATGTTTAATCCTGGAAAGAGAGAGAGGAGAAGAGAGAGAAAAAACAAAACAAAAATGTGATTTATTTATATTGTAGACTTCAGTGTTGTCTTGAGTTATGTGCAACAAGCGCTGAAGTACTGTGTATGTGAGGTGGCCATAAACACCAAACTCTTTTACTTCTGCTAGGGTTTCTGCTGTTCTGAGGATAATAATATCTGTTCCCTAGAGTCTACCTGTTCCTCTTCCTTTTCCCCTCCTTCCCCCTGCTCCATACTCTTCCAAAGGTCATGGCTATGAGAAGTCTTTAGTGTACAGGTCTCCAGGCACGTAACTCATAATTCATCTGCTAGAACAGCATTGTCACTATTCCCAATATAGAACAGCCTTCTCCTCCAAATTAAATGATTGGCCTGTTTCTTTTTCAGAATGCTAGGAAATTTTTGAAAGAAGATATTTTTGACCAAATGTTGCCTCATGTTTCAAATGACAGGATCAGTCTGGATCCAGCAAGCTGTCATGTGACCCTTATTTTAAATCTTAACTCAAAATCTGTAGTTTGTCCCCTGTATACTGTCTTCCTTCATCATTAAAACACTTATTAATGTGAGAGCTATGCAAGATTTATGCTAATCTAGTCTGATGTTGGTATAATGTGAACCGAAGACTTTAATCTGGGAAGACTTGTATTGAGCCCACATTTAGAATTTTTTTAGGAATGCATCCAGTCTGATTTTTTATTTCAATCAGTTCACCCCATCCTTGAAAAGCTTTGCCAATACTTAATTAGCTTTATTTTTCACAATGCGCACTTTTCAGTGGAGGTCTACTATATGGCATTGACTCTCCTGTCTCATATATTGTGGGTTTATGTTATCCTTTTTCTGTGTAGGTAATTGAGAACTGTGATCAAGTAACCTCGTTGAACTAAATAGTTGCATTGTTTTAGGCTTTACAACAACAGACGATCTCTCAGACCCGAACTCTCTAAGTAATCATTTGATCCTGTGTATAAATCGACTTTGTATGGATTAAACCATTTCCACTGCTAATGAATGGCTGTTGTATCGAGTCCTTTTGGAAGGTAGCCTCATCCATACAGAATAAGTTGTGAGGACTTTTATTTTCAGTGACTCTTATGTACTTTTTTGCTTGGTTTTTGATAACTGATACTTTGAAAATTGAATGTTTTCCGGTTGCTTCCCCATATTTCAACTAATGAGTGGTGCAGCTGGTGTTAATACGCGAACAATGTATCCTTGAAAACATTAGATTCTTGTCTATTATCCTTTTGCCCTGCTGCGTGCATGCTTGCTAATCAGTAGGTAACTCTGGGTTGGAGTTTGGGCAGTGATTACTGCAGACAGAAATGGGAGCAAGCACTCAGCGTTACAATAGCTGCCCGTAGAATTAGGTCACTAACAGGCTTTCAGCAAAATAGTGTTAATTTTCCTCTCTACACACTTAAACACAGAAGGTATATTTAAAATTCCACATCTTTTCTGAGTGATCCTCTAGTGTAGCATTCTTCCCGATAACTCATATATAGATACAGATTATATCTTTTAACTTCAGGTACCTAATGTGACTGCCCAGTTCAGCATTCGGCTCTCCCATACTGAAGACTAAGGACTGAGTCTGTCACAGGCTCCTGCAGAGCTGGGCTCCTGCCAACGGTGCAAATGTAAGTTTGTGCATACCTTTATTCATAAGATAGAATTAGTCATATACTTATGTGTTTGCAAATTCAGGAGCAATATGTGTATATATGTGGTTACTGAGGCTTATTATCTTGCATAAATCAGCAGTTAGTTAGTCACGAGCAGCACTCCATGGCTTTGAAATACCTTCTCATCAGAGGGCACAGGTGATCTCTGACAGCATTTAGCTGCTTTGGCTTTCATGGGACTTGAGAATTAAGATGAATAAGATGCTGCAATCTAAACCCAGATATTTGATAAACTGATCACTTTAATGAGAATTTAACAAGTATTGGTAATAATTGCCTCCAGTTGATCTCTTCTTTTGGAGTAATGTGCATTAATTTTTACCATCTTTAATGATAGTCAGTTGTTTTTTTGTTTATTTAAATTTTCTTATTTGGGAAAAAAAGATACTTGTCACTTGCATTCCTAATGTGTATATGTACCTCTGATCTTTTTAATCTCTTCTGCCATAGCTCACAAAGACTTTCTGTATATATTATTCTAAAGTAAAATATTTATGTCCCTGAGGCATATGCATTGTCTTCTGAATATGTTTGCAAATATGATCCTTGTACAGATCCAGTGTATAGCTCTTTAATATGAAAATTGCAGAAATGGGAAAAGCAGAGTACTCTCCAAAGATGTTTGAGGTGGTGTTATTTTTAAATGCTATGTGGGTTCTAATGACTTGCTTCATGGTGAGATTGGCACGAGCTTTTCTAGAAGAGGATTTCACAAAAGGAAGAAAAAGTGAGATGTTGGTGTTTCATACCATGAAATTTACATTAGAGATTTTGCTGGTCTCTGGACTTAGACAGGTAAGCTTATAAGAACGTGCTTGGCCTTGTGAATCGTGCCCTATATATCTGGATGGACCTGATTAGATGCATAAAGAGCAGAAATTTTCCTAAGGGATAAAATACTGGAATAGAAACTAAAATTAAACTATATATACTATATATATATACACACAACATATACTATATATTCATATAACTACACCAAAAGATTAGTTGTCCAATTAACTGTCTCTTCTCTGCAGTTAGGTTCCCCCTCGCCCCCGCCTTCTCCCCCCGTGCCTGGGCACCTCAATCTGCAGCCAGCAGAGAAACCATTGAGAATTATCGCACGTCTCTTGTTCCCACAGTCGGACTTGCTCAGCACTTTGGAAACAATAGCTGCTTCATTGCTGAGTCGTGAAACAAAAAAGTTAAACGTATCAGCAACAATGCATGAAAAGTGTGATGAATAGCCTTCCACAGGAAGAGATTTTTCCATGCCAGTGTGTAGGTATACAGGATTTATTGGTGACAGAAGCTAATAAGTAAGAAATCCTTCTTCTTTTGTACCTCATCTGCCAGCTCAGTACTGAGAGAAGTAAACCGTGAGATTTACTAATAATAGCAGGAAGGAAGAACCCTGTTAAACATAGCAAAGTTGGAATGACTTGTGTCTGTAAAATCCAAGGTTGTTTTTCCCTCTTCACAGCCCTTTTTTATAGTCACCCTTGAGAAGAGAAAGCAAAAAAAAAAAAAATCTTCAGGAGAAGAATCTTGCTTTCAAGGGAGGATTGAGGGAGAAGAGGCAGATGCAAGTTACAGATGAGGTAGTGATGGTCATGTAAAAATTATGTGAAGATGTGAGATAAAGTGCAGTTGTGGCTGTGAAAACTTCTGTTTTGTATTCTTATTCTAAGTGTGAATCAGGTCAGGAGAGATTTGTGGAACTGACTCACTCTCTATTTTATTAGTAGCAGTCTCAATTTTCTATGAGCTGCTTTTAAATGAGGTGCGGCATCATTAGCCTTACAGACACTGCTGTCTCAGCACTTGCTGAGTTATATACAGGCACTCAATTCACTGCTTTTGCTAAGTTATAAAAGGGATGACAGAAAAACATTGCTTTATTTTACAGCAATAAAAATGATACATATGGGTCCTAGCCATCTTGCCTGTTATTTTAAAACGTTCAGCTCTTCATTGCTTTGTTCCTTTTGCTGAGCATTATTTTAATGGCGCAGAGTTTGCTCAAGTGTTTTATCCCTCTGCAAAGTACTTTATAGCAGTATTTTCCATTCTGAGACCCTCCATGAAACAGCTGAAAAGCTAGTTTATTTACATCAAGCAAAATCAAGAAACTTCCTAAGATAGACAAATCCAACCAACAGACAAGATGTAAACCTCTCATTTGGAGTATTCTGAATAAACTTAGGAATTTTTTAGCATCTTTTTCACTCTTGTGGACTGAGAGATCTCAGTCGATGTTTGAATCGTATTTGAAGTCATTTAGCAGAAATTGAAACAAAATTTGAACATTTTTATATATTTTGTTTTTAAACAATGTTCTGCCTAAACTGAATATTCAGCCTAAATTATTTGAAATGGAAAACCAGGTGTTAATTTCATTGTAAAACAACTACATCTTGTGCCTTTGGCGTTGCAGTAAGTGATTTATTTCAGTTAGGGCAATACAGTTAAGGAAGTGCCGCATGTTTGTAGAGCTGGGGATAACATGGAGGAGTACAGTAAAACTGAGCTGAGGCTGGCTGTATTTTGGAGGTGTCAAAGCCTATTAGAGGGGTAGAAAGGATTACATGAATTAATCAGTTTATGTTGAGGCGCTGGGTTGCTAACTGTGCTGCTATGAGAACTGATCCACAAGTGGACCGTAAGTCCCTTGCAGGGACCTGGAGACCTTTGTGAGAGGAGCAGAGCGGACAAGGAGGAGTAGTATTAGCTTTACACAGCTGGATTAGGTGTGCCTGCATGTCTTTTGGGTCCATGGCTCCAATGAAGGCTGTGAACAGCAAGAGAATGAGAGGGTACCATGAGCAGGCGTGCGTGTGGGAGAGAGAGTGAGTCTCAGTTTCCGGGAGCTGTGTCTGTGTACAGGCATGCACAAGTGCAGGAGTTAATATTTATTCTTTATAGCCTGGCAATGGTCACTCTTGGGTCTATGAAAGCTAATTAGGAAAGAGACCAGCTCTGGTGCATATCAACTGTGGATGTCAATATTTGTATTTCTGAGTACTTAAGATTAATTCCTACACTTTGCCGCCTTAAAAGGAGGATATGCATGTATATGCATAAATGCAAAGCTGGAGGGGAATAAGGTACAACTAAAACAGTATGTGAAAGAAATAAATGCCAACTGCTATGTAATTATGCATGGGCAGACTTGTTCTGATAATGTCATACTATATCGTAGACCTTCCTTCTTTGGAGAGGTTGGAAGGGGAATGGCAGCACTTAAGTGCCAACTTGGGAGTGGACCAGGGAGGAAAGTATTTGCTCACCCCAGTGGAAGGGTAATCTACACATGATAACATGCTGCAGTATGTCTTCATGTGACATGTCTGGTACTTACTAAGAGTGGAAATACAGCAGGGCATGAGAGCTTTTAAAGTCTCAAGAAAGATTAATACAATGAGAATTTATCAGAAAATATAGATCTCTGGTTTCAGGAATTACCCATTCCCTCGATTACTAAAAAATCAATTTATTTCTCGTAAGTGACTCTCATTCCTTACATTCACTCTAAAAGGATATTGCATAACCGTTGCTCGTTATTCTCAATATATTATTTAATGTGAAAGCCGCATTTCAGCATTTGATCTATTTATATGCTGTTTGTACACATGAAGACAGACTTTCTTTGGATTTGGTTCATTGTACCTTAAAAATAATTCAAATACCATGGTTTCATTGTAAACAATGAAGGATTCCAACCTTTAGGTCATTGCCGGTTGTTTTAAAAAAAAACACTTGGAATTGCTTCAGTAATTATCAGTGTTCTCTTATAAAACTAAATAGGCTTTTCCTGTGATGGAAAGAAGATTAAAGGTCATATAGTTCAAAATAAGTTTTTGGACATTGCGAGATTAAGGAAAATAAACTCCTTCATTAATAAGGTCAATTTCTTTAATGTTTATTAGTTCATAAGGACATATGAGCTGAAGAGAACCGGCAGGGACAGAATTATGTAGATAACATGACTCTTCTGAGGAACAGCAATTTTTTTCTGCAGCCCTCTTTGTAAAGTCTGAGTGACGTGGTCTGGCCCTTGAACCTCACATGCAGTAAAGCACAATTGACAATGTGGGCAAATGATGTTTTCCTCTGAAGATACGCTGTCTTGAGAACTACGCAGAGACTAACAGTACCGCCAAAAAAATGAAATGTGCTTTGGAATGTTTGGTTTGTGTTTAATTTCACTTACGTATCAGTAAAATGCAGCAAGCACTGGAGAAGTGGCAAACCTCTATATTTTCATTTGACTCTAGGTTTATGCATTGCAAAAAAGGTACATTTGTTTCTATGCTTTGTACCTGTATTAAGTGTTGAAAAGGCATAGTGGGTAGCCTTTCATGATAAGAGGTGTTTTTATATATGCAAAGTAATCAGACTTGTGTGCCTTTGCTCAGTGTACTTGTTCCATGCTGCGTTGCGAAGCGCAAGTCTCTGTATTTTCATTTGACTCTAGGTTTATGCATTGCAAAAAAGGTACATTTGTTTCTATGCTTTGTACCTGTATTAAGTGTTGAAAAGGCATAGTGGGTAGCCTTTCATGATAAGAGGTGTTTTTATATATGCAAAGTAATCAGACTTGTGTGCCTTTGCTCAGTGTACTTGTTCCATGCTGCGTTGCGAAGCGCAAGAATTCAAGGAAGTGTGTTGACCATGAGGTCACCAAATTCAAGCATATCAGGAAGTGTGTGTAGCTGTATCTGATTTACACAAATACATAAGTTGAATCCTTCACCTTATTGCAGTATTAATTTGCCAGTTGTAGTAAGTATCAAAAAAAATTTTGAATGGGTTAAAATGCTAGCGTGTAAATGACTCTGAGCTGTTTCCTTCTCCTTCGCAGCACAATAGCCTAGAAGATCAAAATTTCTCTTTTGGCCTTAACCTTCACCCCTTTGCTTTGTTCTTTGTTCAGATGATTAGGTGTTTTCCATCTGCACCTCTATGGCAGA